CACCAACAGCACCATCACCTGAAACACCAACAGCACACCCACACCCACACCCACACCCAAACCCACACCCACACCCACACCCACACCCACACTCCACACTCCACACACCCACACCCACACCCGACGAATGGCATTCTGATGGATGTTATTTTGAAATGAATGAACGGCGATTGATTACAGACCGGAGCTTGTCATTCAAAACAGTTGCAAAAAGCTCCCATTTTCCAGAGCAGATTGAATTGACTTCACAATATTCATCGTCTAAAATCATTATCAATTTCAATTTTCAAAAACAAGTTTCCATCAGATCGGATCATAGATGCAAATTTTCGCGTCAAGATAATGATATTAAAAAGTTAATCGTGATCGGAGAAATGGACTTCTTTCTTAAGTCCGATATGATTATCATAGAACTCGAGCGATTCCTTTCATACAACAAATTCCAGGTGAACACATTACAACGCTTAGTTGTGTCTGATGCACTTATTCTCGAAACAGTGCTCCGCTTCACACCTTGTGTCTGGAGCATTGAATTTGAGCTTTCAGACGATCATGTCTGGCAAGCTGCTTATGCCAATATTCGAGCGCTCATTACATATTCCAGTGAGTTGTGATTGTCTCTATTCAAAAATATTTGGAAAGGATCCATGTTTTACTTTTTCACACTTTCGCAAAATAATCATCATCAATCTCGAAATTTCCCACTATATAGAGTTTTATAAACTCGACAATAATATTTCTATTTTCTTTTCTAGATAGTGGGCGCTTGGCCTTTGGTGGAATTCCATATAAAAGCATCGGACCACTTTGTTGTTCGTTCCCAAATGTGGAATATTTGGATGTAAAAGTCAGTGGTGTTTACGATATGGCTCTTTTCATTAACGGATTCATACGGCTTCAAAATGCAATCTTTCGAAGTCGTAAGCAGACTTCCCACTTTGTCGAGTATTTTCATGAATATACTCGATTAAAAAACGTTCCTCGCGATTATACATGGTTAAAAGGTGAAAACAATGGACAAGATGGCCAGAACCTTCAGCTTTGGATCTCTTCCCATATCTTCGATTCAATCAATTGACCTCTGTTGTTTCGTTTCTGTGGTCTTTCTAAATTAATTTTAATGTTTTCATTTTCTCTGGATCTCTCTATGTTATCTTCTTCGTCCTTGCCCCCTTCTAGATCAAGATCATCAATATTAAGAGGGGGTGTTAAATGAAATATAATTTTTTTTAAAACAAGAATGCCGAGTGTCTCGTCAATCCTAGCTTGAAGATGGTTCTTTAGATAGGTGTGGATATATTATACATACGAGTAGTAAGGTACATCCCACCCGCAACTGCCTCTATGGTTGATAGCATCGGTGCCTAATGATACAAAGGATGCAATGACGTAAATACAGGGTGTGAAGTGCCGATGGGTGAGTATCGGTCTGGATGTGGGTGGGTAACAATAACACCCACACCCATAACACTATGTTGTTTTCTACTGAAAAGACAATTAGTTTTAAGACACAGCTCCCGTCATGAAACAACTAAGCAGCAGTGATTATTAAAACTTCACTGAAAAAAACAGTAATAGAAAACATCGAATTTTTTTTTTTGCATTTTTATTTTTATTACCGTACGCTGTGTTTTTGATGACCTAGTTTAGACAAATCACGATTGGCTGTGCTTGTTCGATGGTCACTGATTGGAGGTGTGTTCAAACTTCCTATTGGAGCAAGTGTTTGATGAACTTCTATGCAGATCATGTGAAAAAAAATAGTTCCATTCTTGATATATTGAATTCTTTCTGAGATCAATATCTGTTTGAGAATACACATATAAGATGTGATATAATTATTTACTGCATGTTCACTGAAAGTTAACCTACTTTTCTATACAACAACATACAAATGATGGAACGTTGTCAATGTTAAATCGCTGTTGAGTTCGCACTTTTATGCATCAGACAGATCCCATTGATGCATTCAAAACTTGTCAATGTGGTTTCTTGAGAAGCCAAAATATACAAGACACAAGACTCGGATAGTTTTAAATTTGTAGTGTTTTGTCAACAAAGTTGAAGCTATTAGTTTACTTCCAAATTTTATCGAATAAATGAATGAGCGAAAATGAAAATTGTTATTTGTTTTGAACCGGTACTCTGATTATATTGATAGAATTGAATGATTTCATTTCAAACTATTTTTAATCCGAATTTATCAGATTTGTTTAATATTTTTAGAATATTAATGCAGTAGAATGGTGTGGGCTTTTATCACTTTTACAACAACACAGTCACCTACACCCCAAAATATTAACTTCGTCTGAAATTTTGATAATTTTAAATCCATTATAAATATTGACAAGTTGAGAAAGGATGTTACAATGTCCACTAAACCGAGTAATGCACTTGCCAGTTTGACCAAAATAAATTTCCAATTAGAATAGTTTTAAATGACAAAAAGATCATAGAAAAGAAAACAAAAATATGTTTTCTATAATTTTAACATAAAAGAGGACAATAAGCGAAAGTCTAATTTTATACTCATCTGTCTTTTTAGAGAAAAATATCTTTTCTATGAATAATGTAATATATTGTAGACGATTGGGCGACTGTTCAATATTTTTTAACTATTCAAATTTCATCGGAAAAAGATTTCGATAAATTTTGCTTGTCCGATGTTTCTATTGTTAATTTTAACAAAAATTAATGAAATTTGTTTAATGACCACCGAAAAATCGTACATATACCAGTGGTCTGAATTAGTGGCAGGGTGACGGAAGGGTTCAAGTCTTTCTAAAATACATTGTGTCCAAGCTTTTGTTTCATAAATGGGCAAGTTAACATACCAAATGAAATGATTGAATTTTTTCGATACTTTTTTCGGCAAAGAAACCAGCTGATTTTTGATAAACTTTCTATTGAGAGAGATCTATTTAGTTTGCAAGGGTATGATCAACACTGGTCTCCATAGAAAATTTGCATGGGTTTGTGCACGAATTGAAACTAGAACTACACCAATACTCACAACCACACCCACACCTGGTGATTATTATCAACTTTAACATGATCCGGTGGACTACCCATATAAAAAAGTTGTGATGGGAAAATGAGTGATCGTTAGCGCAAGCGTTACATTAAATTGATTTTTTTTATCCGATTCACGTTGGTTTTCACTAATGTTTTTGAACACTCTACATCAAAGAAATTTACCAAGTTCTGACTTAAGGATTCGAATTTTTCCTTTTTCCCGTTGTTGTCGACGAGCTTCCCACCGGTCCAAATTGCTATGTTAGTATTTAGGAGAGAGGATCCACTTAGGATTGTATCATCATTTGCAATCATTTTTTCTGCCATGATGAGGAATGTATGTGAAAGCACACCTCCAAGCGAAATCAAATCAATCCGTATAGAGAGAAAGAAGGAGAAAAAGAATAACTTGTTTTTCGTCATAGCATTAGACAATTCATTGTTGTTCAAGTGTCCTTCCAGTTAATTGCTTCCACGTCCTTGAATATTGTGAATGAAAAAAAAATCTCTTTTTTTCTATTACTCTTGACGTGCGTATAAGAATCACATCGCAGCGTCGCTAAACAGTTATTCAAATCAATCCATCTATTCATATTCTATCTCCAACTCAAAGCAGTTAGATGAGCAGCATCAAGTCAGTGGTGTATTTTATGCTCATCATGGCATTCTTGATATTGTATTGCAATGCACGAGTAAAGCAAGAGTCCATTCAATCTACTAAGAAACCTAGTTGTATTCCTATTGGTGATCTTTGCAATGATGTTGTTGATTGTTGTGGTAATGATGATCCTGATGTTGGCCATTGTGTTTATTGTCGTACTAGTTGGCCTTTTGGTCGTCATCAGCGTTGTGATTGTAGTTCTAGCGGTGCTGTTACTACTACTGATGATGGTATTGTTAATAGTGATCGTTGTGCTGGTCGTGATCGTCGTCTTAATCGTTGTCGGGTTAGTGTTGCTCGTCCTGGTACATTTTGGGCTCGTGGCAATAATGTTCATCCCAAAAAAACCAAGAATGCTGGGTAAGTATAGTGATTCAATTGCAACTCTTTGCCAGAATTTTCTGATTTTTTTTCTACGATTCCGATATTTATTATTAGTTTTATGTTATTCAGTATTTTATGATCTCATCTGACTTTTTTCTTCGTAGGTAATGTGGACACAAAAAACAACTCTATACTAAGAATCAAACATGGCTATCAGCCATTAACAACATCAACGAATATTATACACTCATCAGCATTCTTCTCCCATGTTTTCATCTATTTGTTACTCTTCGTCTCTCCTATCTTTTTTCACTACTTTCAATCCTAATAAAAAATGCACGCCAAAAGTATTCTCTATTTAACTTTTTGTGAAAAGTACTGAATATTTATACTAATCATGAATATCGTATCATTGTCTTCATAAACTCAAAATCATGCATTCAGTTGTTTACAACTTTGATTGAGGGGTGTGAGTTTGGGTTTGAGTGTAGGCGTAAACGCTCGACCTAGTTACCCACAGCCCACACTCACCCACACCACAACATATTATTTACGTTATGTTCCATGTTCATTAAGACAAAATGTCCTACTGACATATTATGATTCAACATTTAATGGTGCTTATTTCGGTATGAAACGAACATTTTACAAGATTCGTGATAGGTACTACTGGCCCAATCAATTTCTCGATATCAAAAATCATATGCTTTCGTGTCTTAATTGTAAGAAGAACAACCATCTTCGTCGAAAACCAGATGGATTTTTACAACCAATCACACCCCCACAGGGCATTATGGAAAAAGTAGCAATGGATTTTGAAGGTAAACTACCTACTTCAGCACGTGGTAATTAATATATCATTGTACTGACTGATTTGCTTTTCGGAATTTATCTTTGTAAAAGCAATGCGGGACTGCACATCAATAACTGCGGACAAGTTTTTGGTTAAAGATGTAATGTTAATGTTCGGTATACCAAAAGCGATTATTACTGATAACGGTACTCATTTCATATTTTCATTATTCAACACATCAACACAAATGATGGGGTACTGTCATATTAAAATCAGTCCGTACGATGCATAAGCAAATGGTCAACGTGAAAGATTCAATGGTAACTTTTTATCTAAAATATTTACACTAGCAAATGAACAAAAATCTGACTGGGACGATAAACTTTTGCCCGTTGCTTTTAACTACAGCAATACTCGACATGCAACAACAACATTTACACCATTCGAACTAATGTTTGGACGAGAATGTCGCGTACCGGCTGATCCATTGAATAATCTTGCTATGCCGACAGCAAATAAATACGCAACGCAAATGCAAAGATATATAGAATTTTCAAAAATAATGGCAAGAAAAAACATTGAATAAAATCGACAAGAAATGAAAATACGTTCCGACACAAGCTGCCGAAATCCAGAATACAAAATAGGAGACAAAGTGCTAATCTTTAATCAGCATTCAGCGAACAAATTAGCACCAAAGTATATTGGACCTTACACAATAGTGAAACGTTTAGGAAATAAAACTTATCAAGTACAATTCAACTCGACAGCTCCAATACATAATATTGCGTTGGATAAAATGCAACCGATTAATTAGAATTATATCTGATGGTTACAATGGCATTCGGGACACCTGATTAAGCCACGGAGTGATAAATTGTATGTGTACAGATATATAGTAGATATTAAAAAGAAAAAAAACTATTGATATGTATGGGGCCTATGTTTTTTTACAATTCTCTCGGAATTATTGTTTTTTTTTCATGATGATTTCCTACTTTTAATTTTTAATTTTTTGGTTCTTCGTGTTGATGAATGAGGACATTCATCTTCGTAGGGTGGGAGATGTTAGGTAGTAGTATGTTATCTCTCTTCTGTTATTCTATTGTTATTCATGTTACTATCCGATATGTGTGATGGATTTTTCCTTTCGTTCTCCTCTTCTTTCATTTCCTTCGTTCTATGTATTGCTTCCTTTTCTCTTGATATTTCACAGGTGATTTTCCTTCTCGTATATCATCACCTAGGGAATATTGCATCTTATGGATTTTTCCCACTTGTTTCTTATATATATAGTAGTTCGTCTGTTGCAAAAAGGGAAGGCAGCAGATTATCCTAGTAGTTATTGTCATCTTATATTTCACGTGAGGATCACACTTCACAATCAACCTTGGCAAGAGTTTGTGATATGTTGAAAAGTCACAAATCCTTTTACCGCTTTTTTTTCTCAATAAACCATTGTTAAGTATATGAATGAGAAAAACCCTCAGATAAAGGGTTTCCTCTTCTACAGTTTTATTTAAAACGTGCAATGATAAACCCTTCATCTGAGGATTGAGACTAAGAGTGAGACAACTTACCACATTACAAATTGTATTTCACTTTTATTGATAGAAAAGCTTGATGTCTTATCCAAATAAAAGTCACCAAACTTTGTGCGCATATTTATCATTAGTGTCAATATCGTTCTATACAATGCGGTGTCAGATGTATTCAAGGAGCTTTACTTGTACAATTTCTTTATACGCTTTCTAACAGTATGCTTGACAGTAAGTTTGGTCAATGTCGGAGATGAAAAATATATTTTCTGAAGCCTACAGAACGTTTCGAACATCACAAAATGTGCACGTCACCAACAAATGTTGCAAAAATCAAAACAATAATGTAGGGATCTGAATTGGTCAAAGTATTGTACGAAACAAGTGCTATCAGGATATGCAAACGAAAAACTTTGATGTCATAATCTTGAAATTGCAAAATTGAAATCGATGTAAAACAGAAAAAATCAAAGTTTTATTCGGAGAAGTAGTTGATTCATTTCTAAAGCAATTTTAAATAATGACGACGAGAGTTATTTGGCACATCCAACAAAAAAATAGTGTACGTTTTTTCTCGTTTTTATTCATCATCATCTGTACGGTTTTCTAGCCATGAATAACCCCGTCCTGTCCATCATTCCATATAAGT